ATCATCGGTAATGCATGTTTGGGATTCGAGGTATCCTACTTGAGCCTCGAATGGACTCGTGTCAACTTTCATTGTCATTTCTTCGAACTTCAATCTTCCTTGGTTGATCGCATCTTGGATGGTGTTCCTGAAATGTATACAATTGTTAGTCCAATGTCCATAAACATTATGAAATTTGCAATATTTTCGACCATTCCTTTGTTCTGCAGATGGCAGTTTATGATCATCACTCAACTTAATCTGTTTGTCTTTCAATAAAATATCAAAGATTTTGTCTGCTTTTGTTACATCAAAAGTATATGTTCGATCTGCCATTTTATCTTTTACTTCATTCTTTTGCAACAATTTACAAGTATATGGAACCCCCACTTTGAGTTACTGCTAAGTTTACTTTCTCATCGACAGTTTCTTCAATATCATTTTCATGTCATATTATCTGTCTCATATACATCATTTATGTATGCTATTCTTTCCTTTTTTAGAGGTTTCTCATATTTCTTATACCTTTGTTTCTCATACTCGATTTGTTCTACTCTTCTCACTTTATCAGCTAATTGAGCCATGTCATTCAATGGTAAATTGACTAGTTTTTTCCTAATCGAGAATTCTAAACCTGCAGAGGCCATTCGACTAATTCATATTCGGGAATTTGAGTGAAACATCTCGATTTCATTTGTCTAAATCGATTCAAATAATCATCTATGCTTTCATGATTGTATCTTTTTATATTCATCAAGTCGATGAGACTCACTTGAGTTTCTCCTCTAAAGAACTGTTCATGAAAATTCCTTTCCAATTGCGACCAATTATATATCGAATTGGGTGGCAATGACGTGAACCAAGTAAAAGCATTCTTAGTCAAAGAACTTGGGAAATATTTCATTTTCAATTCCTCACTCATCGCTAGGTCTCCACATTCGATCCGATATCGAGCTACATGCTCGATAGTCGATTCACCAACTTCTCCAGCAAATTTAGTAAATTTGGGTACTTTATACCCTCGAGGCAATTCGTTTCGAGAATCGCATTCGGAAAGGGAGACACAAAATATGTCGATTAGGTGGTCTAAATTCCATCCCTTGTAAATTCATCCTTTGTCCCAACATATTATTCGATTGTGTATATTTTGAAATCCTTCGTTCAAATTCCCATAAATATCATTCCTCACATGTTGATACTCATGTCCCATACATTGCTTGTTGATCATTGTTTCTATTTCTTCTCGATAGATATGGGGGATTAATATTAGTATTTTGGTTAGCATGATTTTCTATCCTCGTTTGTCGAGGCACGACCAATGCATCCCAGATTCGTGACATTTGGTCTGCTAATATCTCAAAGCTAGCAGTAGTGTTTTGCACTTAATGGATTTAAGGCTGTAGTCAATTGTTGTGATAACATATTCACCATTTCAAAATTACTCTCATCCATTTGTTGTCTAAGTACCCCTAATGAATTACTAGATATTCGGTACCCATATTTTCGATAGAATCAAAATTAGATCGATGATAGTCTCTATCGAATACATGTCTCTCATGATCTAAGTATCCCCTACGATCTAGATTTGGAGGTATCATGTTGTGTGCCTACATTACTGTCCATTCCACGAATTACGGGGAATTACTAAATTTTGCGACGTCCCTAAATTCGGAGGGATTCCAAAATTTTGTGGCATACCTAGTGTTTGGGACATTCCTAAAGTATACCTCGAGTTCCTATGCATTGAAGAAGTTCCAGCCCCACTCACATTATTAAGTGAAAACCGGGCGGTCTTACACTCATACGTGACCCTACATATGTAGTTGTGGGATTTCCTATAGTTTGCATATTATTTGGTATCACAGTACTATATCCTACTTGGGTGTTTGCTAATGTACCTGAATTTTGTTCACTACTCACAGGTATCGACATGCTCACGGTTGTCGATATTACGGGTATGTTATCATTATGACTTTGCCCCCGAGTATTTGGTGGGTGTGACCCATTTAATCCCTCACTTGTTACCTTGGTTATTTGATGAACTCGACTCTTGACTCTCCCACTCCTTAATCTCATACAATTTCGAACTAACCAATTTTGTGTTTCTCAACACAAGACTCCCCCTACCTGCGCGCCAATTTGTTTCTAGTGGAATTTCGATCGATTTCGATTCTAAGGGTGTTTTGGTCTTAATCAAAATTCTACCACGTAAGCTCTTTTTACTTAGGCTAGCAATTTGATTTTCAATCGAAAACGTGTATGAGAATCGAAAACTCCAGGATATCGAAAATGCTTGTTTTTGGTGTTTTGTATTTAAAGTATCGAAAGCATTAAGACTATCGAATCGAAAAGCAGAATATTAAATTGCGAGGAAATGTAAAATGCAAGAACCCCAAACTTGCATTAATTGTAAATAGCGAGAAATCGAAAACAACGCAAATATAAATGACAAGAAATCGAGATTGCAAGAAAAGTAAATGACGGGAAATTGAGATTTGCGGAATGTTAAATGACAGGAAATCTAAATGCGAAACTCAAATTTTCATTGAATTGAAATGGACAAGGAATTGAAATACGAAACATAAAACTGCTGAATTTAAGTTGCATCAAAGTAAATTACCAAGGAAAATACGAAAGCGGTAAATGTACTCGGTGAGCAAGGAAATCCAGTTGCCGGAAGCTTCATGGTGTTCGTCGTTTCTCCGGTAGACTTTTCACTACTGATCATGTTCTCTGCCAATTTCTGCCCCTCCCCTTTGTTCCTTTCTCCTTTGCTCTATTTATAGGGCATCCTTCAAGCCTTCTGAGAGCAGTTAACGCGATTGCTACCACGTTCTACGTGCGTATGACAGTTTATCTTCTATAGTTTCCCACGTTCTCACGATCTTCGACTTTTTCCCATGATTTCAGAACTGCTCTCTATACGTGCATTCGACTTACTTCCCTTCACAATTTGGCCAAAGTCTCGATGTCTACATTGGTTTTCTTTACTCTCGATTCTGTATAATTCGAGAACTTCGAATTGCTTATGATTCCTTTTTAACCCTGGTCTTATATGACTTAGTTTTTATTCGACAACAGTTATTTGATTGTAATTCATTTGATTCTCGATTGTGTTTCTCGATGCTATATGCTACGTATTTCTAATTAGACATCGAATGAACTTTTGTTTATCTTATCGAGTCATATTTCTTCCTTCGATTTCGATCGCTTTTCCGATTCTGCTACTAACACAGAGTCACAAATATTAAATCTTAAAATATATATATATATATATATATATATATATATATATATTAATTAACCAATATATTTTAAATTAAAATATTAACATGTTGAATCGTAGTATATAAACACACCATTGTTTTCAGTATATTTATGATCGATGAGAATATTCCGTATGATTTGAATAAATTTCAAAATATATGACCGAAACTGAAACAAAATAGGCGACTGGTGGGGACTCTCCCACTTAATAATGAAGAGCTTTTGTCTCCATAGTGAAATCCCTTTAATCTCATTATTAGTTTATCTTACTACTAAAAATTCTCATTTTTTATGGGAATATTTTTACAAAATTTTAGTAAAAATTGCAAGAAATAAGTTTTCTATAAATTTAAACAATTTTTTGCAAGAAAATTGGCAAAAAAAAACTAGTTTTCTAATAAATTGGTAAAAAAAAGTTGTAAATTTGTAAAAAAATTTGTAAAAAAAAATTTGTAAAAAAATTCAACACTTAATTCAACTAAATTTGTAAAAAAAAAATTTTCAAGTACTTTAAATACATAAAAAAATATATTTTAAATATGATTATATTTTTATATAATTTTAATAATAAAACCTTTTTATATATTTGTTGCTTGACATGATATTTAGAAGCGATTCATTAACAACGACCATATATATATATATAGTTAGAGAACAACAAATAATGTTTTATTTTTATAAATATAGAGTTTGGGTATTTTTAAACAATTTTTTAATAAATTGTTTTAGATGAAAAAAATATATATAATTTTTATAGATTAAAAGTAGTTTATATATAAATTAAAAACAATTTTGTTTATAAATTAATTTAAACTTCTAGAATATTTGTGGAAAAGTTTGTCCAGAACATATTCTCAATATATATTTTATCCTCTCAATTATTATTACGATTAAAAGAAATTTACTTTTAATTTTTTCACATATTTTACTACAATATTATTATTTTTTCTTATTTTACTAATTTATTAAACATGCAGTGGTCTATCGTGTAAAAACATTAAAAATAAAACGAGATGGTTTGCTATAATTTTTTTATAAATAAATACATCATTATATGTATATATTTATTACATTGATATGGTTAGGTTATTTATTTTCAAATTAAGTAAGTCAATATATATTTTTTAACAAACAACGAAAGTTTCTTGAATAAGTAAATATTTATTTAAAATGTTAACAAGCTTTATCATTGCATGGTCTAAAAGATGAGAAAACAAATTAAAAACATAGAACATACATTTTTATTTCATATCTGAGAAAGATGCTCTCTATGCGGTAAGATCCACACCCACCCTGGACCAACTTCTATCATTTTCAACATCCTGATTTTGTACTACCTATGACAACTTAACAACCCTTGTCTCCTTTTTCAATGTCCACACCATACCCTGCTCTTTTCTCAAATTCTTAGAATCGCACCATGGTAACTAAATTAACCCGCATTCCTTCACCACGGGCATTGGCATTCAAAACGTGCTTTTTGATTGAATCAATTAAAATTAAAAACTCTCACAGGGCTACCCAAACAAGCCGTGCCTCTGCACACGTTAGTGTGCGTGTGTCCCCGAAACAGAGTAACCATAATAACTGTCGACCAGAGCCATAGTTTATGGAAAAACAGGGCATTCAATGATTCACCACGTAAAGGAAAATACAAAAAGAGAAATTAGGAAAAGGACAAATGTAAAATTTTTATTAATTAGAGACACAAAAATCTCAAGGTTGGAGCGGTAGTAGCAGCTAGCTAACTAGCTTTAGGATGTAACCACACAAAGTGAGTCACTCCAATTTAACAATTCGTTGTTCTCGTGGTCACCACCTTCTCTGCACCTTCTCAGCCTCTGGTACTTTTCGACAGTAACATCACTCACCACACACCCACATGCAACACATTCCTCCTCCTCTTCTTCTTCTCTTTCTTTTTCTTCCACAACTTCTTCCTCATCTGTTTCCTTGTCTTCTTTTTGGGTATCTTTTACTTGTCCAATTATTTCGTTTTCGGATTCTTTTTCATTGGCTAACGGTTCGTTTTCTTCTGCGTCATCTACTTCTTCCGGGTCAAAACTTGAAGTGGGATTTGTCAAAAAACAGAGGCGAAGTCGGCCGTGGCTTCTTTCAGCCTGAAAGCACGAGGGACTCGGTGGGACCTTGGTGACCTCAATCACCAGCCTTCCGTTTTCACGGTGGGGTCTAACACGAAGAGCCTCTGATCCCCTTATCGTCGTCAAAGGGGGCGGAAAATTCTGCGTTTTCGCTTTCTTCGCTGTTGAAAGTTGACGAGGTTGCCTCTGCTGAGTTTGTTCCCTTGTCCCCGAATTCACGTCCACTACAGAGAGCATGTCAATGCTGCTTTCATCGCTGTCACTGCCGCTTTCGTTTCCGAGGTTTTCAGTGCAGAGTTCGAGGCTCTTCGGGCTGAGGCTGAGCGAGAAGCGTTTCTGCTGAGGGTGCACGTAGGTGGTTTGATCCTGCGATGGTTCTTTTGAGACGTTGGAGAGTGCTTCGAGGAAGCTCCAAGAATTGGAGACAGAGGGTGTGGTGGGCTTGCTGTTTTCTTCGGAATGGGGTTTGAAGGTGAAGGATGAGTTTGAGTTTAAGTTTGAGTTTGAGTTTGAATCCCAGAAAGAGGGTTTGAAGAATTGAGGTGAGGAAGGGATTCTCAGTTTGAGTGCTATTGACTCAGAGAGTTGGGGTTCGAGGTGTGACTGCAATCCGTGGCACACAATTGCAGCCATGTGGTGATGGCTTGTAGAGATGTTCAAAGGTGAAAAAAAGAAGTGGACAACAAGTGAAACAGATTGCTCTGTTTTGTTGTGTTGTGAGAGGTGAGAAAAGAAGCAGAGGTGTGTGTGAGTGAGTGTGAAGTTCTAGATTGGAAGGAAGTGAGTGAGAGGGAGGTGGGAAGAGGAGAGAATGTAAGAAGTGGTAGGCATTGGCATGGGAAGAAGTGAGGGAGGGTGGGAATGAATTTGTAGTCCCCAAAAGTGCCCTAGGGAAGTAGGGAAGGGGGGGCCTTTTGAGAGCCACTTGAAATATACAATTTTTAATACAACACTTAATAAAAGGAGAATTGAAAATAAGAAAAACGAGGAGGGCAGCAAGGAATATTTCTCCCTTTTTTTGTAAAGTATTTTTGTTCTTGACATGATGTTACACAATAGAATAATATTTGGTGGACACACGATAGACCCAGTAAAGGCTTCTTCAATTTATAAGAATTCTATACTCAAAACTTATAAATAAAGTTTGAATTTCATTATCAATATTAGTGGATGATTTATAAGTATGTTTTAAAGTGTTTTTTGGTCTTGAGAAAGATTCAACTACCCAAAAAGATAAAAGGATAACACATAGAAAAATAATAAGCAAATAATGGGCTATATGATATGATAAAAAAAATGACTTCTAAGTGTTTATATTATTGGTTGTCTATGCATCAATGTTGCTTAGAATAATAAGAATTAGGCTTAATTACTTATTTTGTTATTATTATAGCTATATAAATTTTAGTCGTTTTTTTATATATTTGAAAATGATTCATTTTAATCCATTGCTATAGTTATTTAGTTAAGCTTTCATACATTTTTTTTTCATCTCCGTTGTCTAAATTCATAATAACCAACGAAGATTGAACATACTATCCAAAGCTTAAGTTGATGATTTTTAAGGATCGTAAAGTTTATTAAACTATATATAAGAACTAAATGAGTAATGTTATATAATAATGACTTATGCAGAATTTTCCTGGTTGAGAGTCTTGAATTTGCAGAAATTTAGGGTTTTAGGCATGCCCTTGTGTGAAAATGAAGGGAAAAAAGGGAGAGACAGGAATGTTTTATTTGGCTGCAAAATAACCTACTTTTACTATTCCCTTCCAAAAGAAAACCAACAAAAGGCCAGAGCACACATGGATTCTCATATATATTGCTTGATAGTGATATCTGCTGGTTATGTTCAAGATCCTAAGAACAGTTGTTTTTGAAGGCATTCCATTAATTGTCTAGGGTTTTTAAGCCATGTAGGGTCAACATTAGGCTGATTGCTAATTTATTCAAAGAAAGTAAAACAGGATGAGTGAAAGAAGGGCACACAGTCTTTGAAGAAAACGGTAACTGCTTAATTGTGTCTCCTGTTTCTGCAAAATGATGAACAGAATTTATTGGCCAAATGAGGAAAAAAAAAGAAATTCAATCTTTTACCTATTTACCGTCAGGAATTTATGATTCACTAAAATGGGGTGTTTGGTACATGTTTGAGGACAGCCTGCTACAATGATTGTGCTTTGGGAAAATCTGGAGCCAGAAAAACAGGATCCCATGACCTTATATTCTGCCTAGGGTTTGAAATTTTGGGATAGACATAACAGTGAGTCCTACGCGGCAGGACATGTTCTTTCTATGATGGTTAAACAAATTCAAACTCCTTCATCATAGCGCATCACAACATGCTTAGGATACAAGTTTTAGTGGCATTCACATCATATTTTTTTAAATTCCTTGTCTGTCACCATATTAATATACTGATATTATTTTCAATGAATGTATGTAGAAGAAATGTGATACTTTTTTTTTAACAAATAAAGTCAAACTTTAAATTAATGTGTTCTATCTGTCAAACTTAAAAATATAATAATTAGGTTTCTGGCATGTTATTATAAGTGTATATTTATACTCTTAAAATTCAAAACCAGTCCAGATTCTGTTCTATCTTTGAAAATTGTTCATGCAAAAGTTTTATTTTCGGTGAATAAAAAAATTATTCTCATGAGGTAGCCGAAAATGTGGTTTTGTAATGGCGATTCAAGAAATATAGGAGAAACAATCAACTTTATATATATACATATATATATATATATATATATATATATATATATATATATATATATATAATATTTTAAATTCGAATTTTATTTAATAACTTTTATTATCTTAAATTCTTAAAGATATGAAATATTAATAAAACAAAATTATCATTAAATATTTATTTTTTATTTTCTAATCCATCAAAACTACAACTACCATTGACTTAAAAGAGTAAATTATATTGTCATATTTGAAGTTTGTTTTGGAGAGTGCATGATTTTCTTATTTTAATTTTTTACTTATTTGGATATATAGTATAATAGTTTTATACAATTGGAAAAGTAACAAAAAGTATGATTGTTTTCAAACAACTAAAAGAGATTAATATAAAAATGAAAAAAAAATATAAAGATAAATTTATTGAAACTTAAACAATTTTAAGTAGTTACTTATTTTCTGCATATTTTCCTATAAAAATAATTTAAATTTATAAGAAAATGATTTCTTATAATTTTTATAAAATAATTGAAAAAATATTCCCATATTAACATCTTATTCAGATACAAACAATTGAAACTAGAAATTGATACAATAAAAAGAGCAGTCAAAAAGTTGTGCGACCCCATCAATAATTTTTTCAACACATTATTAGGCTTTGGCGTTTTTTTTGTTCTTTTTATCTTTAAATAAATAATTCAAGCACTGTACTAGATAATGTATTTCGAATTAAGAATAACAAGCAATTCCAGTTAGTATTATTTTTTTCTACTTTTTTTTTAATCACCAAAAATTTGCTTTATATTCATGATTTATATCATATACATTTTAACTTTTGGGTGTTCTATTCTATCATTTTCTTAGAATAAAGTCATTTGCTTATATACTTTTCAAAGAAACAAACACACATCTCGCATGTGTCAAAGTTGTTGATAGTTAAAGATAAATAAATATCTCAACAAGAAACAAGTAAAAGAATGATGCTGAGCATAGTAATATTTATAGAACGATTTAGTTTAATTCATCGGAAATTGTTAAATTAACTCGAATTAATTTTAAATCAAAGTTATGATCCAATTTAACTTAAATGAAACAACTTGCATACCATTATTCATAAGATTAATATAACTTGTAAAATTATTGTACTTAATTAGTTTTTTTTTTTGGCAGTCTCATTCTTCTCTTACTTACGTATTTATTTATTTTATATTAACCCTTGCCTTTAAATAAATCTTAAGTCTATTTTAACAAATACTGATAATTTAAAACGCGATAGTTAATATTTCAAATTAATCTTTACTATGATTATTGTGTACTTTTAAATTTATTTAATATTCATTACATAATTAAAATAGAGATATAAGAGCAAAAGATCTGATTAATTCAAATTAGTTTTAATCGTATTAAGTTGAATCAGGTTTAGATTTATATTTAAATTATAAATATGCTGTAATTTAATTATTTATATAATAAACTCAACCGAAAATACTCTAAATAAGTAAATTCTGCGAAGTCTGACATTTTTTTAAATGTGTTTTCACCAAAAAATATTTTGTTTGATTTAGGTAATTGTATTAAAAATAGAGAAAAAATTATGTAGAACAAACTAAGAAATGTTTTCTCCTTCCTAATTAGTAAAGAGAAAATTGGAGAATGAAGACTCTTATGAATATAAATTTGCTTATTTATTTAACTATATATTTATTATTATATTGAAGAGGAGGGTTCTAAAAATTGAGAACCCAGTCAAAGAATCTCTACATTGAACAAATAATAACTATGTTGCTTTAAACTATTTAAATTGTGAAAACTTAATGGCATCAATAGTATAATATTCATGACAAATTCTTTTTACAAGTTGAAATTGCAATTTTGTATATATGACACTAATTGAACGTTCCTTTTATTATTTTAATTTGGTTTAAATGAATGGTAGACACACACATTCCTTAGTTGTAAGTTTTAAGAAGGTGTTTGTTTGATACCAAATGGCACCTTTTTATGGTAACATTGTCATTTTTTGACGCCAGATCTTACCCTTCATTTTCTGCACCCTTTTCTATTGTTTTTTGCTGCTTTTTCTTTTACATTGGAAGAAGCCAAATTATTTCATTTACTTTGTTGAGTCAAATTGTAGTTATGGAGAGAGAGAGAGAGAGAGAGAGAGAGAGAGAGAGAGAGAGAGAGAGAGAGAGAGAGAGAGAGAGAGAATGGTTTAAAATTTCCAGTGATCAACATGAGTCAAGTCCACATGTGTATGTCATTGCAAATCCATTAAAATACTGATACGAACTAAAACAGGTATTGAAGAACAGTGAGATGTTGGATTATTGTAGCAAAAAAAAAAATCGTAAATTTTACTGCCCCAATTCGTTTAAGGTTCGAACTTTATATACAGTTTACACTTTACACCAGTTAAGCCTAAGAATGACAGATATTCCACTACAGCTAGCTGGAAATTAAGTTTTAAATTTTTGGTACCTCCCGGTGTGTATTGAAGGAGCATTCACATGAGTTGAACTAATGTTGATTCGTCAGAGGAGAATCTTTATGTATAAGCATCAGCATCTTTATGTACAAGCACCAGAATTTTATTTGCTTAGTATGCACTAATTGTTAGCTTTAATAAGCATAACATGAAATGAAACTCAGCGAAACATTATTTGAAACGTATATCGCATACACTCACTGATCATGGTATTTACAGGCATATGGGTTGGGGTACCCTTGTACCCTCTTGAAATATATACATATCTTATTTTTGTTAAAGAAACGACACACTGTACATCGTATTTACAGTTGTATGTGTTAACGTATAAACAGCTTTTTGTCATGAAAGAGTGTAAAAACTTGTTCGTACATTCTATATACACGCGATTTGTAGTTCTAAACATGGTGCTTTGATGCCAAAACTTTTTTCCTTAAGGAACTAGACA